TTGCTTCGGTAACATGCTACGCAGCTCACTCAGCCTTCCCTTCAATCAGCATACATTGCCTCTTCCGCTCTTTAGCCGATCACTCGCAGCCAATCTGGCCCGAACGAATCTCCAAGCACATTCGCCAGATCATGACGCATGTGGGCAAACCAGACGATGCTCCGGTTCCCAAGGCCAGGGCCTTAGGCGCTACACTAGCCGCTCAAGCAGGCATCGCAGTGGATGACATAGTGGTACACAGTAACTGGTCTTCCAAGACCATATTCGAACAGTTTTACCGAATTTCTTCAATGACGAACAATAATCTCACGCTGGCTACTTTGGATCAACAACTAAGGTCACAAAGCTCGAAGTGTAATCTGAAATATTTGGTTTATCTTATACTGTAATGAAGAAGCTTTAATACGATTTGCTATCGAAAACACTGTGTCATTTTATCATGTCAATATGTTTTTAAAATCGGTGAAACAAAAAAGGATTATCAAAAGTCGATAAAAAAACGATATGGTATTTTATAATATAATAACTCATTTGGGGCGTGAACCTTTTGATAGTAGACATAATGATTATTCTGTACATCAAATGAATTTATCCTATTGACTTTTCATATTGATACCCAAAAGAGATTATTGTGGCATATGTTCAGAGAATGCTTGCTTTATAGAGGACACTACATGTTTGTTTACGCGGTTGATTGTAGGCATAAGCTGTTTTGCTAATTGTTCTAAACACTTATTTAACTTGGTATTCTCTATTACCGTGATTGATTCCTTGTCACCATACAGATTTAATATCGCCTGTAAAGTTTTGATTCCTTCACCATTTGATTGACATTTTTAATCTGATTTTTTACGAACTGTTTTTCTAAAATCCCAGTGATTTCCTTTTCGGGTATACCATTATCTTCTTCATGAATAATTTTCAAAGCGATCTCACGAAATATTTCAGATAGAGCTTTGAAATCGGATATATCATGTCCATTATCACATTCAGATAATGTAAACACTGAGTATGGTTGTGAAAAATGATTATCAGTAAATGAAGACGCCGCCCTGCACCGACGGTATGTAGAGATATGATCGAACTTTGTCTGCAATTGACGTAATTGAAAGAGATTATCATAATCATTGATTTTGCGGTTTTCAAAAATCATAGAAAGTTTTTTCGCTTTTTCATACGACTTTTTGTAGATATAAAGCTTTGCTTGACTAGATTCTGTGGAATTTGCAATGGTGAAATTTGTAGTACTTGGCCCGACCTCAGGTTGCAAGTTGGTATCGAGTCTGAGACTTGATGTCGAAAGGGAATTGAACGATTTTGTTCCAAACACTAACTTACATCCATGATCATCTGTAATTGTTGTTACCCAAACGTTGTTATATCTATAATTTGGCTGCGGGATCGATGTAGACGGTAATACCCCCATTTTAATCGTAAAGCTTTCGCGATGTATATCAATGGACCTCGTTCTGCCATACACTTCGTTACAGTTGATCAAAAGAGCCTTGTTTCCTTTTATAACCACCATCCCCGCAAGCATCACCGAACATGCATATTTTATATGTGGAAATGTGCTCCAATCCGTGTTTAATAATCTTGATGTAGCTTCATCTAATTCAATAGTCTTCTTTCTTGAATAATTTGGTGTAGGCGCTATTGAGTAGAATATCATGTAAATCGATGTTTATTTCTATTGACCTTTCATCTGTTTCTCTTTTCCTCGGAACAACGGAGATGTGCTTAAAATCATTGTTGCATACTTGTTGAGAGTGACTCTCATGTACCAGTACGTTTATTTCTTCACCTTGATTATTGATAAAACTTAAAGGCTTAACGTTTATTGCATCTACAATTTTAACAATTTGTTCCTGATGGCTTTTCTCAAGCATCAAACCACCACAAGCATTGAGGATAGAAGTATCATAATCACGTTTTGAAAGTATCTTTGGATTTTGGTTGATGTTATCTGATTGAAGAAATAAGGAGGCTTTGCAACTTGATTTAATAACATGAGTTTTGATATTTTCCCTAGTAAAACAGGCTATATGGCAATTTGGACATTTGAGAACATCATCTATTCTTTTGATTACAATTTTCCTGTCTACATCTGGAAACAAAAGAAAAGTTTAATTTTGTATACATGAGTGTAAGTTATTTAACATACCTTCAAATTTATAACTGATAGTGCATTGATTACAATGCCGTTCATATTTATGCTTTCTAATATCATTAAACACTTCTTCGCATTGAATACAAGTGGACATTTTAAATGAAAAAAGAACAACGCAAAAAAAGAAAACGCGACAAATAGGGCCCGACAAAGTAAAAAAAAACCATAACAGGACCCGACAAATAGGACCCGACAAAGCAAAAAAACCATAACAGGACCCGACAAATAGGACCCGACAAAGCAAAAAAAACCATAATAGGATCCGACAAAGCAAAAAAAGCCATAGCAGGACCCGACAAATAGGGCCCGACAAAGTAAAAAAACCATAACAGGACCCGACAAAGCAAAAAAAAAAATTGGTCGTCAACCAACTTGGATTATAATGCAAGAATACATTCGACATTTAAAGTTTTGCAAGTTCTTCGTGAAAATGGACATATTGCTTTGTTTTTACCACCTTATTCGCTCTTTTTATATCCAATTGGAGAGTATTGGGCAAATATTCAAAGCAAAGTACGCAGAACAACCCTCTTGAGGACCGGAATATTTACTGAAGCATCCCAAACATCTACAGTTGAAAACTGTCATAGTTGGATTTGCCACTCACAAAACTTCTTTCCAAAATGTCATAATATGGACAAAATATCTGGTGACCTTAATAAATCGTACAGTTGCCGAAATGGAGACAAAAGATGTGGTACTAAGCTCTCTGAGCCGCGCTTTTTTATTCGAAGTTTTAAATTGATAACAATAAAATCCAAAGTTTCCTATATTCTATATCTTTTTATAGCTTTCTAAGCGTATTGTTCTATTTTTTCTTGACTTGTGGGCGGGTTACTTTCGCTGGTTGAAGAATCTGCGAAACCAAGGGATGGGTCGTACCACATCTTTCGTCTCCATTTCGGCAACTGTACGAAACTCAACCGAAAATACTATATCATCAGAAGTATCATTTAAAAAACGAAAACTGTCTATTTTTATCATTCGGTACTGGCTGTTAAGTGCCAAATCCATCTTGTAAGTAGTGGCCATACACTACTCAATATATTTTAGTGATGTGCAACAATAATACTAAAAAGAAAAAACAAAATTACCTTCCACCAATATGTCAACAACTTCAGATGAGTTGACCCTTTGGAATACCAACTTGCTCAGGGCAAGTTGTATTTCCTTTCCCAATTTCACCAAACTGCTTTCATGCTGACCATTCGAATGATTACCAGGACTTTTGACCTCAACGAAGCAAAGTTCGAAGTTGGTTCCAGTGAATGGATCCACAAACAAAACGAGATCAGGGAATTGGGGTGGGGTACTATATGATAGGCCAACCTAAAAAAAACATTTTAGTCCGGAAAACACTACATGCACCAGTAGTTAGAGTAATTCTACAGGCGCTACCTCTACCCACTACCTATAATGTCCTACAACAAATCTTTTTAATGTGTAGCGTCAAGCTAAACAACACTTTATAAAGTCACCATCTTGGTTAGTTTCTTTCAAGAAAAAGAAGAGATAAAAAAGAAATGCTGTTATTTCTTTATCCTATTTTTATGGTATCAGTTTGATCCATCACATGTGATAATAATAAATTCGTATTTCCCTATTTTCTGGTGCATGTAGTGTTGGTCTTGTTTCTTCTAGTATTATTTTCGTCAATTGCAGATAGTATCAACTCTGCTCCCAATCTTATACTTGCTATTTGCTCGTCAGTTAAACGGTACGAATTTTCTCTATAAGAGCGATACACTATGGGAAATTTTTGGCTGTGAAATTTTGGTTATTTTTTTTACTGGACTATCACTGCGCATTTACTGGACATCCAATATTTCGGGGGAAAATTTCCCATAGTGATAAGCAGCAAGAAAATAGGTTATCTCGGCTGTTAGTTTATCTTGAGACATAGGAGAATGTTCTGTAGTAACAACTCTGTTTTCAGCAGCAGTGTTAACAGCATTAACTTGAACAACCGAGTCTAGTTGCTCAAAGGATACAATGTCTCTTATAAATGAAAGTAAGTTTTAGCATATGTTATTTACAAATACACACATCTTGCAATTTACCTTTAAAAGAAGTTATCCCAGCATTTAAACGATTTGGCAGATACATATGCTTACAAGCAATGTTATTGTACCTGAAATCGCTACAGGTGCAGCTCTTCATTTCGCTTCCTATTAGAGTGATTTCGTGTTGAAGTTCTATATTGCTGAACGACTAAACTATGTAAGCTCCAGGTGTGTCACTTTCTGTAACTATATCAGGAATACACTCCATGTTGATTTGGTCAGCTTTTATTTGCCTCATCCTTCTTCTTTTTTCTTCTGCACCCATCCTACCAACCTTTAGCATCAACCTTTGTATATTTTGGAGATAATTCTCTTCAACATCATTCACTAGTATGAATATCAGTCAATCTACTCTTTTGTTCTGCTTTCTTTTTAAATACATTGTTTTCAGCCGATTGTCCCAGCTTTCAATATAATTGTTGGTCTCCGCATTGGTATAGATAGCAGGCTGATATGCTTTTGCCCAGCGCTTGAAATTGTCATTGTTGAAGCATGAAATGCAAAGATAAGAGATCAGCTGTGTATACGACCAAAAGTCCAGTAGAAACGGTTGCAGCTTTCTGTTAAACTCTGCTGCATTTCTTTCCCATATTAACGACTTCAAACTTGTGATGGCTTTTTTGCGCTCAGTTAAAGCTTGATGAGTATCGTCTGCCTTGATATACCCCTTTATTTTTGCCATCCAGACACGAGCAACGCGAAAAAGGCATCATTGTATTTGAGCTTCGGGATAGACGGTTTGAATAGCATTTAACTCAACGCTAGAGACATCAATTGTTATCTTCTGGGTATCTACATGACCTTGGCTTTTTACAAAAGATAGAGATTCAGTAATAGGTCTTGCAGAATGATTCTTCGTAAAACAAAAAGCAACTAGACAACCTGTGCCTGTAAGAGAATACCTCACTATGATGGTGTATAAAAGGCAACGGTCAATATTTATAGTCTTATGGGTAGCATCTAAGCAGAAGTAAGGCGAATTTAGAATATTCTTCTGCCATGGGGACATAAATCCAAATGTGTAGCTGTTGTTAAAACTATCACCAATGTAGGCATTGTAGCCCTTGGATTTAAGCTAGTCGATCCAAATCTTGATGGACTCATGTCGGTCACTATGACGCTTATATGTGCTCGCTTGTATACGTTTATATTGGTTGTAAACTAGTTCAGAATATATCAGTTGATCACGATGAATAATTACACACATTGATGAAGAAGTGTTCGATTGGTGATCAACAATGATGCGGAAATGATCCTGAACATACTTCATTAATTCACGTTGAACAGACAAGCGTACATCTCAACACATAAATCCTTCTTGAAATTTCTGAAAAATGTATCTTTTTGTTCCCTCTGAAACAGACAAGTATTGGAAGTCTTCCTTGCTGCCAATAGGACTATGGTTGTGATCATTAAAAACTACTTCCTCCGGTTTGGACTTACAGCAAGTAGCTTTTATGGTAGCAGGACAGTCTATCTTTTTGGATGTCTTTTGCACTTTTCTTATTTGTCCTGACTTTCCTCCTAGGTCATGCTTGGGCTTTTCTTTCTCACCAGACCTATGACAGTAATATGCCTTGTACCAGAGATGAGAAACATATTTTTTTCTTTTCTTGATTGGGTTGCCATTGGCATCCAAGCCAGTTACTTTCTGATCTTCACCTTGGTTCTTAGGCTTATAAAGCTTTCCAACGTTGCATTTTACGGCATATGTCTCTGGAAATGTATCAACAACCTCTTGCATTTGCGAAATAGGTACTTTGCGGGATAGTTTTATAAGGGTTGGTACGTAAGATAAAAGACATGTTTATTGCGTTATCAAATGAATACAGTAAAAAAAAAAAAAAAAGTATTTATTATCATTGTGAATTAACTTTCAGGTACATCGATTAGGGTGGCTTTTGATGACTTAAAGCATTGACCCATATATAGAAATTAAAGTCCCCTTAAGTAGCGAGGGTATAAAGGGATGCGTTCAACACAGCCAGTCAAAGGTCTCAAAGTCACATAGTACTGCTTATTTTCAAGAGAACTGAGTGCCTTTGATTCTGAAATTATCCAAAGTTGGTGCTTCCTGCAATAACGCAAACACCACAGATACAGCAAGCTATGCCAAATATGAAGTCCTTCACACTGGCTATTGTGTGCAAACGAAGCAGTTTATAATTAATAAGACACTACTAGTCAAATAGGACTTTTTTCTTTTTGTGACGCAAATTGTGTTGCCATCTGTACTACTTATTAGACACCAAAATGAAAGAAGCGGGGGATTATTACTGTCTCTTTTCTTGATGTCCAAAGTAGTTATCACTAGAGTATTACCTCCTCAAACCCAAGCGCGTTTACTTTCTCAGGGATTTAACATAGTTCAATGGCAACAAGATAACACTATGCCCCGAGAGGAGTTATTGAAGGCAGTGCAAGGTAAAGTATTTTATTAATTTTTATATGCATAAAAACTAATAGAAAGCAACGTATAGGAGCTGAAGCATTACTTTGCTTACTTACAGATAGAATTGACAATGAGTTACTCGATGCTGCAGGTAAACTATTATCTCGATTTCTTTCTTTTCTTTTATTTAAAAAACAAAGGCTCACAGCTTAAGGTGATCGCTACCATGAGTGTTGGATATGATCATATTGATGTAGAAGCAGTTAAAGCTAGGCGTATCCTTATTGGATACACGCCTGACGTATTGACTGATGCCACAGCCGATCTTACCCTCTTACTCATTCTTGGTGCTGCTAGAAGGATTAAGGAAGGTATTCAAGCAGCAGAGCATGGCCAGGTAAAAAGACATCATTCAAGCCCATGTACCACTAACTCCGTATTCAGTGGAGAGAATGGCGTCCGACTTGGTTATGTGGTTCCCAGCTCACAAACAAGACAGTAGGCATTGTCGGTTTGGGCCGTATCGGTGAAGCCGTGGCTCATCGTTTAAAAGCTTTTGGTGTCTCCCGCATCGTTTACACAGGTCGACAAAGAAAGATGGACATAGAAGATAGAACCAAGGCCGAGTTTGTCACATTTGATCACTTACTTGCAGATTCTGATTTTGTTGTCGTTTGCTGTGCATTAACCAAAGAAACGAGACACATGTTCAATTATGAAGCATTCTCAAAAATGAAGAAAACAGCGGTACATTATAGATTAAGTAGTGTGTGAATCTCTTACTGATATCTTTAAAGGTATTTGTCAATTCAGCTCGCGGTGGCATTGTTGATCAAGAGGGTCTTGGTAAGAAGAACAAAATGATACAAAAAGGGCTTATTAATATATATATATATATGTGTGTGTGTATAGTCAAGGCACTAGAAGAGAATCTGATTGGAGCTGTAGGGTTAGATGTTACTGATCCAGAGCCTTTGCCTCCATCCCATAAACTCTATTCATTTCCAAACTGCCTTATCCTTCCTCACATAGGTAAAGAGCATTTAATGCACACGCCCATTGCTTATCCTTTTTATAGGAAGCGCTACTTTGGAAACAAGGGAAAAAATGGCTAGTATGGCACTTGATAACATCTTGTCTGCACTTAATAATCAACCTCTACCTTATTCTGTATAAAATCAGAAAAGGCGGTCAATAAAAACCATTCTTTTTTTTTTTATCCTTATGCTTCTCAAACGATTCTACTCTAGTTCTTCAAAAAGTTGGTTATCTCGTCAAGCTAGAGATCCATATTGTAAAGCAGCTAAAGCCAACCAATACAGGGCCAGAAGTGCCTTTAAGCTTGTTCAGATACAAGAAAAGTACCGTATCATTCGTTCAAATGATATCGTTATCGACTGTGGCGCTGCTCCTGGAGGTTGGACACAAGTGGCAGCTGAAAAAGTATCTAATCAAGGATTGGTCATTGGCATTGATCTATTACCCATGGACCCTATTCCAAATGCCCACATCATTCAAGGCAATTTCCTCAAAGCCTCTACACAGAAAGCTATACAAAAAGCCCTTGACAACCGAAAGGTTAACCTTGTCTGTTCAGATATGGCTCCTAGTTTTTCAGGTAATCATTTGGCAGATCATGCAAGATCCATGGAGCTTTGTGAATCAGCCCTTGCATTTGCTCAAAGTGTCCTAAAACCTGGGGGATCCTTTGTTGCAAAGGTAAAAAGTAAAAATAATATAAACTTTCTCTGTATCAAACATGTTCATTTTTCTCTAGTTCTTGATGGGAGGCACAGAGCATGAATTTCGAAAGAAACTTCAAACACTATTTACCAAAGTGAAAATTGAAAAACCAGATGCTTCAAGGAAACAGTCAACAGAAAGCTTTTATGTTGCACTAGGCTTTAAGCCCCCGAATCAAAGCTGATCCATCCCCTTTTGAAAATACCCCCTATTAGAGATAGTTTGCTCAGACAACAAGAGCATAACCCTTTCTTTAACGGAAATGTAAATATACAAATTATGTGAAAAGTTTTACGATCTCAGTTGAAGAGTGTCTCACATTTAGTATAAATACTCACTCTTAATAAAGTCAATCGACGTATATCTTTTTGTCTGGTTAATTCTAGTCTTTATTCTTTTTAATTGATACTTCGTATTCAACACAGAGCATCTTCTTCGGTATGATTTCCGTCTTCTTCACTATATACACAAGTGTGAGTAAGACAAAGCGTTAGTACAGTACCGCCGACTTTGTGTGATATCTATATATTGGAATTTTTTTATCGTACATACCCTGAGCATTCTATCATCACACGTTTAACTTTGTCCTTGCAACTAAACCCAATGCCATCTAGGAGTTTGCGCTGGCTTTCAGAAAGACAAAGCATCAATTGTTTTATGATTGTATTTATATATATTTTTGTATAGGTGTGAAAAAATCTCCCCATCTAATAGCACTTGAACAGAAATATCATCCTATCGTTTTCTTACCAAATCAAAGACAACAATTTTGTTGAGGCACTGAAATACTTAAAGATAGGAGTGACATATTTAGCAAAAGGAGTACGTCCATTGGGAAGTACGATATAAGATGGTTTACTGCAATTCACATGGTAATCGGACAGTATGTAACGGAGGGTGTACACTATGCGCACGACGAAATCCACGAGAGGGTTAATGATACAAACACTACCTGTGATGTCGATAACAAAACGTTTCAATGTATAGCATCACGTTAAGCTTGTTCAGAAACAAACATCTTTTCATGTTTCTTAATGTAGGGCGGTGTACTTGCTAAATGCAGGCACTATTCACCCTCATTTGAAAACCTGCCCTCTGGACCCTTTGATAGCGATCTATCACTTTCTTGTTGAACAAAGATCATCATTAATTATCTGAATCGTTAACTAAATCAAATACAATGCAATCGTCGCCTTCAGCTATAGTTTTTAACGTTAATTTTCTGATATAGTGTTGTTAAATTCAACGTACTATACCTTCTCTTCCTTCTCCTTCAACCACGTCTTTGTATTCACTTTCTTTTATTTTTTTTTTAGGGTTTAGATATTTTCTTTTGAAGGCTGCCTTCGCAAAATCTCTTCGTAGGGATGAGTATCTGGTAATTTTCTTTGGTCCTTCAGGATACTTGACTTCCGAAGCTTCAGGTAAACAAACGTTGCTTTGTTCCAGAACAGTATGAGAATCCCTTATATCATTAAGTTTGTCATTATCATGCATACTTAAAATGCTTTTGACAGAACTTATGAGCGAATTCATCCCATACGTTCCTTCACATTTTCTGAAGGCTGCTTCTAGAGCAACGACATATTTCATCCACAGCTTTGACACCGAAACATAAATTTCTTTTTATTGAACATGGATTATTATTTCATCAATAATCCGCCATCTTGAAGCAACGTCCTCCATGTCCAAGTACTCTTTGTCCATTGTTGATAAAGTATGACAACAAGGAAGGTTGAACGCTGTTTTAATTTCACACGTGCAGTAAAAGCCTTCTTTTCAAACGATATCTGAAGAGACTGTACAGCAAACATTCCTTTTTTCAGGATGCTATGGTCGCTTTCGGCTCTTTGAGTTGTAGTTCAGCCCATATACTGTAGTTTTGAGATGTAAATAGTTACCTATTTTTCTAAATGAATCTTTCACTCAATTTCATAGTAATTTTTGAATTTGATTGGCTCTTCTTCATTCAAAAGAATATCCCTTATTCTGCGAAGCTTGGCTTGGTCATTGTATTTTTCACGCAGAATTTGAATTCTTCCTTTGTGCTTGAATTAGCCTTAAATAGCGATGCAGTGCAATACTTATCAAGGTTGTTCAAAAAATACTACCGATAGAGGATTTTCTTGTTCAATGGGAATAAACAATACAGCTGATTCATCAAAGCAGTGTACTTGTCGGTGATGAATATAGTTTCTTTCGGTACCCCTCCAAATACGTTGTCTAGCGTCTTCAAGAACCGGAAATAAGTCTCTCCTCTTTCGTTTGCTACCCAAGCAAACGCAACTGGGAGAGTTTTCAAGCTTAGTCCACCTAGGCTGCTTACACCATATACACAGGTTAATGGCATCTTAAAGTTATTTATGCCATAGGTTGCATTAATGATAATGGCTGGTAAGCCACTATTCTAAGCGTGGATTATAATTATTGAGGATGTGATTGACTAACGGTTCCTGAATTCATAAAGAAAACTTTTAATTCGTTCCTGACACTGATCTTATTGTTCATTTCATAATCTGGGTTATGTTACTGCTTTTACCGTGAGAAGGATCATCTTTTAAAGAAGTATATCCTTTTATATAAAGAAGTAGTGATTCATATTTAAAAGAGAGATTCTATTTAATTTGACTTATCACTAAAAGTGTGTACACGTAATCTTATAATGTATGAATTCAGTCTATTCATACTGATTACAATCGTTTATCTCAATGTCTGCTTAGGACTGACATTGTTCTACGACAATAAAAGGCACTTTAACATACAAAATGTATTAGAAAGTAAGAGTCTTTAAATAAAAAGAATATAAGGGTGAGTGAGTTATACTGAGAACTGAACTAACTGATAACTAACTGATTCATTTATTTAAAAGAGTATTGACTGTATTGTTACTGGGTGTTAGTAGTAAGGTTAAAAATAAGTTTTATAAGTAGAATTTGGTATTGTAGTGACCCCAGATCTTAATATAAGATCAATATAGAGCAATATAATGCTAAGTCCTGTGAGGTAAAGTGAAAAATAAAATAAAAAGGTTATTAAGCAATTGTTGCTTCAGATATAAGATAAAATAGAAGTTATTTTGATCTGAAGAAAAGATGATTCTTAGATGATTCTTCGATATTGTTTATTTCATGAATAATTTGGGGATATTTATACTGTTTAAATATGCAATATAATAAATGATAAATGATATATGGTTTATGATAAATCATAAATCATTAAAACTTGCATTGGACATGCAGAGTATAAGATACCAAAAAGGGTATCAACAGTATTATTGTGTAACATTACACAATAATAGCATAAAAGGCAAAAATAAACGCTCCTACGTGGGCTCGAACCACGAACCTCCTGATTAACAGTCAGACGCGCTAGCCAATTGCGCCATAAGAGCTTGTTATTTTTCGGTTAACTACAAAAATTTATCAAATTATTTTTTTCACGTGATGCTCATGTGACGTGGACTTATGTTTTACCTCCATTTTTAGCTTTGTGATTGGGTACTATTTAAAATATATTTGATTTTGTCTTTTTTACGGTTCTAATTTCCTTTCAATTATTTATAATGGGAGACACGTTTTAATCCAAACAACTGGAGCTGGCGAAACAATTTTTATTATAATTATGCTAAAGCACTTCGTGAAGATCTAAAGAAGGGAGCTATCACAGATAGCTCTACAACAACAGGGAACGACTTGTTAAAATGCAATTTTTGTTGCATTCATCTACGGGCATGCCGTTTGCAATGAATGAGATCTCATTAATTGCCTTTTTAACCGTCAACTATAAAGTTTATAAGCACTGCATTCAACCATTCTTATAATTTTTTGAGATATTAATTACAACGAACTCTGTTATTGCTTTTACCAAGTTTTAAAATAGAATATGTTTATACATGAAAAAATAAAAGTATGCATGTACTACAAATATGTATCGGATGATGCAAAAGTTAATACGATATAATGTTTGAACAATTTGTCTTTATAAATCATATGAAGAGTAATGCTATCATTTCTATTTGTTCATGGTCTTATTGAATCTTTTTTATGCTTTTAAAGTAGGAAAGAGTCTATAATAAAAAAGAACTATGGTGTAATGCAGCGTCTATATGCCCTGCTTTAGTGTTCCTTAAAACTTGGCGAGGGCCCTGACTGTTGTTTGTGTTTCGAAAAATTTTAAACACAAAGATCTACCATCTTTTTCTTTTTTCTTTCTTTCTTTTCTAGCACATATGAAACGCGTGATATATTCAATATTATTCATTTTATTACTTTCTGTTATCATAGTCAAGGTAGTAGCTGGCAGTGTGCATATGAGTGTAATAGGCTAATGTTATGATTTAGGCTGAAACAGGATCTGATGTCGTGAGTCTGGTTCAAGATGAGGACACGAATGAAATAGCTGACATTGACATGACAAATAAACATGAAACGACGACAGAAAATATAAAAGAGTTGATTATACACGATAAACAGCTAGCATCAAGTTACCTCGAATACCTCAAATACCAGGTCTACAAAGTTAAAATGGAAATGCTAAGCCATGATAACGCAAGGGCATATTCACCTTCTTCCATGTATGATATCGCCTTTAGTTTAGGCCATTATTTCCCTGAATGGACATTCCCTCCTTCGTTATGGAAAGAAGATCGGGTGACACGCAGAAGAAAGATAGCAAAGTTTTTCTCAACTTCCAAGTTTGGCGATCGATTATATGCTCTACGTATACGTAACAAGGCTCTTGAATGGGCAAGCAATGCAAGCAAGAGCTTCAAGAATGATTATGCAGATGAGATGATAAATGATGTAGACACGTTATTTGATTCACTACATCAATTTACGAATCTAGTGTTTGAATCTGTTCACTCGTCTAAAGCTAAGCCTATTATTCCTGAAATATTTAAGACAAACAACATCATTGATTCGTTTGCTAAAAAGAACAATGCGACATTCAACGAGATGATGAAGAGGATAAATGAAGAGTTTGATACACTTGTCAATCCCTCAGGAGAATTGCGTGTTAGCTTTGAAAGTATTCGATATGATATTATGAAGGAAATGAAGGAAATCAGAAATGATTTATACAAAAAGATGCATGGTACTTTAGTGCAGAGCTTTAGCGATATCCTCAACTGTTATTACGATGTTATGGGGCAAAGTGTAGATATAAAGATCACTCAACGGTTACGTACTTGTTTCAATTCTATATTGAAGAAAAAGTCATCCATTGACAAAGATATCTTAACATACAAGAAACGTCTTGTTTCTCTTTGGAAACAGACTATAAATGAGCTATCCCAGAGCCCATGGCAAGCTGACTATTGGATAGATGCATTTGCAGAAGTACAAGAAGCAGCGACTCAATTGGGAAAGAGTATTTACAAAAGTGTAAAGTCAAATTATAGAGACTCTGGGTTCCGATTTAATAACAACAGAAGAATTGTCATTCAGTCTCCCATTGATGTGAATTATTGGTAAAGAAAAGGAGGCATATTACACATCTACATAACAGGACTAAAATAAACGCTTTTCTTTTTTTTCTCTTTTTATGTCGCAAAGCTACTTGGACCCATTTCTATTGAGAAAAGGGTTTATTTTGGCTTGTGTTTTGATTCTGCTGAAGATACGAACACGGTGATGTTTTACAGGTTGGTGATCATAGTAAGTAGTGTTTGGTAGTGATAAGAAGGGAAAAGATTGCAAATGAACAAACTATGAAAGTAATTGTATGATGAACAAAAGCAAATATTTATATTGTCAATAAAATATGACTCGACTGTAAAATGAATTACATTAAAGTTTCGTTGATAAAATGCCAATATAGAACAATTCTTAGTCCCTGAAAATCCAAAGGTTAGCGTTAACATTGGGACAAAAAAAGTACTGACTCTAGAACTTTAAGGAATTAGATCCAAATTGAAAAATATTACAAACAAGAAAGGGATTATTCTCATAGTCTCAATCAATCAAAAGGAGCGATCGGCAAGAGCGTGTGCTAAATTGGGCAGTTGATTCAGACGTAATAAACAGCCAATGATGTTGATACTTTTGATATAGATCGTGAAGGTGATCACAGAGTTACTCTTCAGGAGTATTATCACGTGTGGCTCAAGGTCAGTATAAAATTCATAGACAACAAGAATTTACCAATGCTGTTTAGACAAAGACTATAAAGGAGCATGACAGGGTTTAAACCAAGAATAAATCCCTTGCTCACATGTAAATAATGAATTCATTATGTCAAGGTCCAAATCATATACAACAAACAAGCAAACTGTTAAAGGCCTTTTTTTTCTACTGTCAATTTAACATATGATATAGAAAAATACACAAGACATAAATACACAAGACATTAAAGTATGATGCATGAAAGACGTAATGGTTGTGACAAATCATTATTTCTGGTGTAGCAACAACAGAAACATTGAATACAGTAATGAATACTAATGTCATTTATTGACAATCAAAAGGTCTTTGTAAGAGAAAAAACAGCTGTTGCTTTTGATGACTCCTTCTTTTACTACATCCTTAATAGGAAAGATGGTTACGCCCACAAAAGGAATAATAAGTCAAGAAATGATACTTTATAGTCAGGCCTGCCTATAAAATATAAACAATATGCTCGTAAATTATACATGAGTTATATATAAAGACTATAATATGAAACCGTGGCATTATGATTTACATGAAGACTGTATAAAATAGGTTAGGGAAATAACTGATTTCTTAAAGTTTCCTAAAACAGGAGCAAGCACGATTTCCCGATTCTTTTTTCTTCTTCTTTCCCTTTTTTTCTAACTCTCTTCCCTTTCTTTCAGTAAACAAGTTTAAAACAAATATTGGTAAACAAGTTTGCTTCTTTAAAGAAATTGAGTTCTAAATAACTATTTCTTTAGTTTTTTTTATTTTATTCCCTCTCTCTCTCTTTTTGATATTTCTTTCACACAATTGGGTCAATGACAGACAGCAAGTCAAGAAATGAAATCATAGACTCTGACGACACTAGTTCAGATTATACCCCAAACCCTAGGCCGAGTCGTAGAAAAATAACCATGTCCACTCGAAGAAACTCTCGTATGTTATATTTAGAAAAATACGGACTTGACCAACCTGGTTGGTACAGTTCAGACAATCTTCATGACTTTGATAATGACTCTACTGACGAAGATAATAACGAAGAACTTGAAGAACAAAGAAAAAAAATTGAAGAATATAGAGCACAGCCTATCCAACCATGCATAGACCCTTTTGCACCCAACACACAACCTATAGGCGATGTCCCCCTTAAACGTCCTGTGTCAATAAGGAACTACATGCAGAACACAACAAATCAAAAAAGACCCGCTCGATTTGTCAAGCCTATCAATTCAGCTTCATCTATAGGCAAAGTCGCTTTACCGCCTACTGAGTTTATCCATGTACATAAGTTATTAGAAGCATATGAAAAGAAAGTTTACATCGAAGGTTATCTTCAAAAGAAGAACGACCTCAAATCCAATGGAACTTCATGTAACGCAAACAAATGGACTGTTTGGTATGTGGAGCTTTGCGGTCCTGTTCTCAGTCTTTGGGAAGCCTCAGATACCTCGCCTAGTCAGGATATATTTCCTCAATACATCAACATCACCGATTCTACTGTACATATCGAACCCACCATATCACCCAATGCATTCTCATTAAATTCGGCTGGTGCCAATCGCTATATCCTACAGGCTCCTGATTCAGAAGCTCTCCGTCGCTGGGTCTTGGCTATACGTCTCTCTTGCTTTGAATGCTCACGTATTCAGGAAATCTATACTAGGGCTTTCATTTGTCGACCCCAATACACTAAATTTCTTACCATCAACAAAAAATCGCATGTCACTGCTACCGGTTTTCTTCACGTTCGTTTCCCAAATGCGACAGGCTGGAAACAGTACTGGGTGGTGGTCACTAATCAAAAAAGGCAAAAAGGCTTATTCAGTAAAAAAGCAACACCATCCACCGGTCGCATCATGTTTTACGAGTCCAAAAAGGCAAAGTATCCTGTGATGACACTTCAACAGGTGGTACAGGCATACACTGTTTATCCAGAATCACCAAAACTGATAAGCATGGCAACGCTTTTTAAAATCGAAGGATCTTTATATCAAACTTATTCTGGAAAGGATCTAAAATTGGTCAATGCATCTTCAAGCGCCTTATTGATGACATCCACGACTGCAGAGTTGGTCGAATGGCTTATTCACGTCTTTGATTGCTTTCAGCTGTATGGACGTCCCCAATCATTCTTGAATGACCCTTTTAACCCAAAGGCACTTGATTTTGGAGAAATGACGACGAGTCGACTGAACGCTAACCTGTTTCTGGAACCTGAGGAAGTCAGCCATGTTAGTATAGAAAGTCATTTGCTTGAGACCAAGACAGAATTTGCAGCAGTATTAGCTCAAAAATTAAAAAACAGACCAACTCCCTTAACAACAGTAACTGAAACATTTGCTGTAAGTGCTGCAGATCATGATAGACATCCGAAACCCGTGACTACGAGGAAAAGTCAATCCAGGGCACTGGTAAATGCTAGTGATATCAGTGATGAGGATGGGAAAAGTGATAGTGAAACAGATAGTGATGATAGCTCTGTATACAAACTAGGAGCAAAAACGGTGAAGCAAAATATGAAGCCATCAGCTGAATTACCGCCATCTACTTCAAACACAACATCAAAATCAAGCTCTGAAATATCTGAAATATCATCATCAAATACTATCGCAGGTGCCATTGCTGCAGATGTGCTCTTACCCGCTGTCAATAAATTGTCTATGGGAGATGATTTTGCTAATAGTGTTCTTTCTAATCCTCAATTTAACAGCCAATCACCCATGAACCATCAACAACAACAACAGCAGCAGCAGCAACAAGAAGAACAAAAGCAATCAGTGCGACCAAAAAGTTATGCACCAAAAACCGAAGTAAAGCCATACCAAAGAAGCTTCAAAGGAACATCGGATTCTGATAGCTCTGTGGCGACAGAAGATATTCAAAGGAAGAAAGTGCTTGCAGAGAGAAAACAGAGAAAGCACAGTAATGCTTCTTCAAGGCTTTCAGCCATTCCTTCTCGAACGCCATTTGTATCGCCACTGTGGCAAATGAATCACTCAACCGCTTCCTTTTCTCAAAGTAGCAACTTGGAGACTTCATCCGTTGACCCTCGTATGATGCTGAACACCAGTTCTCCATTCTTTCATAGCACAGATGTGCTACCGCAGCACCATCCTCAACAATATCAGCGACCAGAACGAATCCGATATGCATCAAGTGTGTCAGGATACAGCCAAAAAGGATGTCTATCCAGAATTGATGATGATGATGATGCACCTATTGCAGACACATATTCTACCAGAAGCAGCGTAGTCAACCAAACCAGCAGTCGGGCAAAAGCTAGATCAGAACAAGGCTTTATAGATCCTAGTCAGTCTCCATTCCCCATGATGAGCAACGGCTTATCACCGACTGGACTTGTACACACGATTGACGAAAGAAAAAAGCAAGAGCCCATGACGGATGATCAAAAGATGATGTGGAACCGTATGGTGCAGCAACAACAATGGATGATGCAACAGGTAATGCTACAAAAATGTCCTAATACTTGTTTTCTCTAAGTCTTTTTTTCATAGTATATGGGCCAGTATAATATGATGCCAATGATGATGCCAATGATGGACCCAAGGTTCATGCCACAGCCTTTCATGATGATGGATCCTCGATTTATGCCAGGATCTCCCATGATGATGCCACCGATGTCACCTAGCATGATGTCTCCTTCACCAACATTGAGCACGACTAGTAGCACTCGTCCACGTGGTAACAGTCAGTATTCATCAAAAGAGACAGATTCTCATAGGCGATATGAAAAGAGAAACATGTCATCTGCAGGTTCAGTTACTGAAAGCGTCTATACTACTAAATCCTGGCAGAGACGTAGTAGAAATTAATCTTTACATCTTTACTTTATATTCTTTAATCCTTCCCCCTTTTTTCTTTCTTTCTTTTTGTACATACATGAATTGTCACCCTTTATTATTGCATTGACACACACACATACATACATACAGTCTTGGCTGAATTAAACTACAATGTTAAGTCAGTTTTACTATAGGATGACTATGTCTTTACTTTGTAAATTTGTTAATACATTACATCCATCTTTTGTAATGTATTTAAAATAGCTTGATTGAGCTTCTTTTTAACCGTAGTGAAGCTTGAAATTGAGTCAATGTGCCATTTGGTTACCTCTTTTCGATAATATAAAAAAGGAAATTCAGATACAAAAGGAAGTTAGTTTTCAGACATGCTAAATGACCAAAGTGATGTTTTTTAACTGTAGAAACCATTAAGTCCTCGCCGAAGCGAGAGACAACCACGTTCTATGTGGTGTGTTGACTATTTAGTCGTGTAAAAATGGCTGGTCGCTCCATACCAGCCCAGACCTGTGTTGCAGTGAACATCATGTTTTTCGAAGCAAGGACATCTCTATTCCAGAGTATATTACAATTGTTGCAAATCATTACATTAAAGAAAAATTTATCCTCAGCTCTATGGTTTCGGAGCTTCATTTCTTTACAACTAGGACAGACCTTTTTTGTTTAAACATGATATTTTATTGATGATCCAAATGAGCGCAAAAATAAAATAATAAAATAAACGTCCGCCCGGACCCGTTCAATCCGTTTGGAAGTGAATGGTAGCGAAAAAA